TTCTACAACGTACAGCACGCAGCTGAATGTGGAGCCGGCTTAGGCTCCTGAGTTGCGGAATTCTCCGATGCAGTGAATCCAGTTAGGACTCAACGACCCGTACCACGGTCTTCCGCCGGCAACGACTCGCTAAGGACCCGAGCACGGCAGAGCTCCGAGAGCGCGGACACACGCTATGGTCTGCCAAATGCAACACATTGCCTGACGAATAGGAGAAGACCTAGTCTAAATTAAGTTCTCCGGTGTAGGAACTATTTAGGAGAGCCGCCCTGAATCAGATTCCCACCCCGGGAGGTTCCAGGCGAATCTCGGGTTTTCCCGGTGACGAAGTCGTGTCGGTTGATAGAAGCTTAGATCGTACGCGAACGTTTCCCCTGCTTGGGCATCACGAATGAAGTCTCTCGCTCTCTGCTCCGGAGTCTGGAGGCTCCGTGTGTGTTTCGAGTAACTCGATTTTGGTCTCCTCTTCCTTGATTGTCGACTGAGTCTCTCAAGTATTCGTCGAGCTTCGTTTCGTCGAGAGACCCAGAAGCGACGGTGGACTCTCATACGGAGTCGCCGACTCTGTCTTCGGAACGAGATGTCGACGAGTTCCGAGTTTCGTGCGGCCAAGCTCGAGACCTTTCGATAGACTCGGGTACTTCGAGCATCAGAGTTGGTCGCGTTCGACTCTGATTCGCGCGCTTCCCGGTTGGTCCCCTCAGAACCGCCAACGCCATGAAGAGCGGGAGCTCTGATAAATTGACTTCGGTGGGAAGTCGCGGAAGCAATCCTTCATGAATGAGTTCCCTCCGCTCTGAATTCGGTTTAGGGCTTCATGGATCGCACATATCGTACACACATCGTTTCTGATTGGAACGCTAAAAGGAGCGGTCACGAAGTCGAAATAAGTCCAAGGAAGTCGGAACGTCGCAACAGTCACATTGAGAAGCAGAGATTCATCACGAGGCTACATTTCGGCCGGAGCCTCAGAACTCTGGCTTACATGCCTCGTCAAATGCATGTATACTCGGGCGTTTCCTCTTCGAATGCCACACATCCATGAATATAATAAGCAAGAAGTCGACCGAGGAGTAAACTTGCAGAAATATAGCTTTCAGCAGAAATGGCTCGAGTCTGCGACCTTGAAGGTCTCTGGCTCAGTTCCAAACTTTTTCGCCTCGATGCCGGGACTCCGAGCAGGGTCGTTTCCGCTTGGCTGTAGCCACAACTACGGACTACGCGGAAGCGGGCCATACGTAACTGCTTTCCGAACGCACCTTTGAGCAGGAATAGACTTCGGGCTCCACGAGCGTCGAACAGGTCCCGGCTCGACACGGTCCCTGACGTCATTACGAAGAGTCAGATGTAATCGCTGCGAGCGGAGGGAAGTGACGATCGAGAGACCGACTTCGCGCTCGGGTCTCAGTTTTGCATCAGTTCGACTTCCGAAATTCGCGCTCGGGCTGGACGAAGTATCCGTGGTTGCCCATCGAGGAGAACCAATGCAGAGAAGGGAAGCGATTCCTAGAATTCCGGAGAGCCTGGAGAATATTGGAGGACGCCCAGAGAGAGACAGACAGTTATTCGTATTCTGTTCCCGACTCGATCAGGTCAGAGAGCCGATATCCCATGCGATCAATGATATTTCTGGCTTTTGGGCGATCCAAGCCTCTCCGATCAGCGGAGCATCAACCGCGGCGATGAATGAGACTTGGTCGGCGCTCGGAAATTTTTTTCACACTGACGCTTCCCCGGTGTGATCGATTCCGGTCTGAATCAGCTGCACGGATCCGGGACTCATTACTCTTTTTCCCAAGAAATGAGTTATGAGGACGCTCATTTCTAGATCGGCTTCCTTCCGTACAGAGCGTAGTGACTTCTACGGTAACATTTCTGAGGCGGATTGAACTATCTTTCTGACCGCATGAGTCACGAAAATCCAGCAATTGAAGAGCTCGCTGATGCTGCCGATTGATTCCGGTTGAGGGAGAGCTGGACGCTGCGAGTCAGGAGAGAACCCGATTCCTGATACAGAGCCATTTCGGGAATGGTGTAGCCGGACAGGTAGAATTCATCAAATGTCCTACAGAGGAATCGCAGCGATGGACTGGATGGATTCCGTTGTTGCAAAAGCTCGGGTCGTAGAAAACGAGACGTCGTGGAAGGACACAATCCCAGAGCCCGCTCAGAAAGGCTATGTACGGAACTTACGGAAACACCAGAGTGGATATAATCTACGACTCACTTATCTTTCCCTGGCCAACTCGATATGATCGAGTAAACGCCCGCATCGCCCGAATCGGAAAATGTCGAAGGCTGACCTAATGATCCCGAGTTTCCCGGAATCATCTCCTCAGATCGCGTAGGCCTCTAAATCATTGCGGAGCTGGCGACGAGTCCTGTGTCCCCATTCCGCATAACCGAGCATCAGAATTATCTGATGCATTTCCGTGTTCATCCTAGGGTGGATCGACAGCGTGAATAGATCATCAGGATTCTATTCAGATCCAGGGGACAGGCTCCGGGGAACAACGGATGCCACACGTCCCATCTCTGGCATCTACTCGAAAATATTACTTCGCCAAGAGCCCTTTTCTGCGGGGCGATTTTCGATGTGATCGGGGAACTAGTCACAAAACAATCGAACGCTGGCTCCGAGCGGTGTTGACTGTTTTCATCAAAGTCGCAGGGGGAATCCAGTGAAGTTTTTGTCGACCGAGATCTCTCTCCGGAGTTACCCTCGGACGTACGAGGCTCATTCCCTGGAAGCGGACCCGGTGACTCAATGAAGGGGCAAACATACCATGCTCGTGCATACAGGTAGCGCAAACGTCATTTTCTGGGATGGGTCGCGTTGCGATGGAGTGCGCAGAATCAGTGGAGGAAAATCCCGTGAATCGCTGTCTCCTGTTGCCCTCAGAGGGTCTCGATTCTGGAGGCATACAGAACTTTCTTCCGAGCGGCCCGGATCAATGAGGAACTCCCTAAGTGCTCGGCTCCACAGCAGAACTCGATGCGTATAGGGCGATTTGAACAAGCGCCGGCATCCGGCTGGATGCGCCTTAGTTGAGTGAAGGTGGATGACGACTACAATCATATACAGAATCCCCGTTCAAAATGGAGTCTAACCTCGAAGCTCTATCCGATTTCCCGCTTCAGAAGCTCGAGAGCCTTCGACCGGGGGAACCGGCCGTCGCTATTTATCATTTCGCGAAGGTTGCCGTTGTGGAAGAGAGAAATAATTGCCCATAGCCGCGTGTCTGGATCGTCAGATAACTAAGCGGTCGAATGTTATTAGTTTGGAGCACTTGATTTAGGAGATGAGGAGGATCCAGCTCTGCTGGAGACATGGGGTGGGAGTTCGGATACAGATTCGCTCCCTGGCGGGAGATACCGGCTGAAAGTCCGACGTTTTTTTCCGGAAAGAGATGAAGCTCAAGCCGACCGGAGTATTGGTCCGGCGTCTGCACGATCGGTGGATATAGCGAAAGAATTCCCAGAACAATTCCCCAGTGGAATTCGTCACGGATAACGGAAAACAGGAGACTTCCAGATAATCATCCGACCGGGAGATCGGTCGCTCTATCCGCGAGCAATTCCCCGCTCGCTGCTCGAGACGGAGTTCCGCGAAAAGAGAAGAGTATTGTGGGGAAATGTTCTCCGGATTTCAATTCCCGACTGAGGATATTCCGATGCCGGGAGGCTCCCGGGGGTTCTAGCATCGGAGGAAACTCGGCATATCGATCCCGGACTTCGGTGGCCGTTCATCCGTGAGATACGAGGGGGATCTTTGACGCGATTAGGAAGCAGTACTTCTGAAACACTCCGAGAGACTTCGTTTCCGAAATCAAGCCTATCCATGCTCCGCGAACGCCCCAGTGAACAAAAACATCATTGGGATTCTTTCAATGCGATAAGAAGCGGTTCCTCGAGACCATCGGCATTATTCTCGCAATCGAGGTACCTTCAATTCGAAGCCCATGAAAGCTCTGGAATTCGCCAATTTCGAAATCGAGTGACTCATGTCAGTCAGCTCTCATCCTTTCCGGGTCGGATGAGGCGACCGAGCATTATACCCGAGCCCATCGAGTTTCATCGACCGCAGGCGAAGCGGTCCTTCTCGGAACCCATCGCCCCGTGTTCTACCGTCCAATGACCACCATTTCGAGTCATGTCACTTCGTTTCAATCATGTCATGATGATTGATCCCAAGCAAAGCCGAGAGGAGGAAATCATTCTTCCATGCAGGGATTCCCCCATATTCGGATCCCTCATGTGAGACCTCCGCACGAAAGGGGGTAACGTCCCACCTATATGTTGGGATCGATCACGAGCCTTCGAAACTATCGCTCGATTTCACGATGTGTGATTCTGGAGGGAATCGGTCCGCGGCAACAGGCATTGCTCGGGCGAATTTACACGGCTCCTGCGCTGTGCTACGTCGGTATGTTCCTCCTGACGGACCTGTGTGCTTCGGAACCGATCGCGTATGATGATAGTGGAAAGAGTATTCGATCCACAGTCCATTTCAGATCATTTAGGGGGAACTCTGACGCATAGGTGAGGGTGAGGCTCTGCAAACCTCCATCTACCTATTCGAGAAATTCGATCCCTCTCAGGAATTCCGATGAAAGACCTGAGTGAGGGTTTTCCGCTGATTCGCAATTCCGTTATCGCCCCGTTCACTCACGAGAGAGCTGAGAGGATTCTTGACTAACGAGCAAGGGGTCATCAGAGTACTATGAAGAGAGAGGGGAAGAAGTTTTAATGAATCGCCACCGCGAGGAATTCGAATGTCGGCGCCACCGTCGCTCTGGCGAGCAGCGTGATCGCTTCGCCACTTCTCTCCCAGCTGGTGGTGAAGAAGACTTCATCAGAGCTCTCGCAGCTTCGCAGGCTGATTCCATAAAAGATGATGCACCGCAGTCTCGGGGGTAGTCTCGTCCAGGTGGCTTGAGTACACTCTGTCCGAGGTGAAAACTGTGAAAGTGCTGAGTCGCGGTGCCAATTCAGGAAACATGAACATCAACGGATTACTCCGAGAAGCCGAGAAAAACAAGTCCATCCCGACTCGAGTAAGTGTTCCTTTTTCTCTTTTACCGTAGATAGTCCGATAGTTCGATTTCTAACTTTATATCCGTAGAGATCTGACTTTCTGTGGAAGTATCGGTACTTCCTTACTCGATTACGCCGAAACAATCGAATTCATGCATGATGTACGTGCTCCATGAAGACATCTTCCTGATATTCGAAACTATGTGGTCTCTATACACTAGTCAAGCGATTGAGATACGGTATCCGTGATCTATCAAAATTCGGACACTCGTCTCATTCTCAGAGCTCCCCTATCTATCCAGTTCATGCGGAGGTGACGATCAGATAGACGGAAATGTTCAATGTTCCATCTATCTGGCTGACAACGATGCTTGTATTCCGTACCCATTCAGGGTTCTTCCGTCGGCACTTCATGAGGCTCGCTATGTGCTCTTATCAAGAGATATTTCGATGCTCTTGAACCCTTGAACATCAGATTTGAGATTGATCGATTCTGTTTGTCAGAGGGGCAGCCCCAGATTTTATCAGCCTTTCAGGCCAAACTTGGGTTGGCTATCGCGTTGTCAAGCCGGAGTCGACCCAGCTCAAGTGCGTGGAGAAGCTCGTGGTTGACTCGGTCGGAGGCTGTCCGATCCGTGCAGATGACCAAAGAAGTTCATTTTGAGCTCTTCCGGGAACGGAATGACCGATCGAATCTAAAGTATGTTTCCCTTGTTTTACAGAAACGGTTCTCTTTGGACTTCAGTCCCCCGAAGAAGCTTCCAAAGACACAGGTGAACCCTGACGCGATCCGGGCTTTGATCGAAAAGAGAGAGCGGGAACGACGAGATGGACGTGAGTATTCGATCTCTGGACGAACATTGGTGAATCAAATCTTTCGATGCTCACTTGCCTCCGAAATTCTACAATCGAGGACGAGCTCGGATACGATTTTCAGAGTGGAGAGAGACCGTGATAGATGAGAGACTAATGCAATCCCCTTTCAGGTGCGAATCTCATAGCGAAAGCCGTCGAATCTACTCGGCGAGACGAAGTGAACTACAAGGATCGCAACGGTCTTCGGAAAGCCGAACAGGAGCACTCTGAGAAATGCAAGAAGCAGTGGCAGAAGGTTCAAAAGGACCGCCGAGACTTCATTGAGCGAATGAACAAAGCCGCTGACCGCAGAGAAAAGAACAAGACTGGTGAGTACTCAGATTCTTTATATCTGAAACTGTCAGGGAACCTAATGGTTCTCGACTTTTCCCCTTATTCTCACCTTGATGGATATGTGTTGAAAATCAATTCTTATCTACCCCACAGCTCAAGACCCGCAGAAAGTCATCCAATCGATCAAGGCGAAGGAACAAGAAAAGAACAAGCGCAAGCGGAAGTACGAAACCTTCACTGGTACCACGGAAACAGCTAAAAAGGTTCGCCTCAACTGGAATTATCCCATACTCGGATCGTACTTAGGTGACAGTCACTATTCTCTGGTACCTTTGACCTACGAATCTAACTGTGACCGATTTGCTTCTCTCCATCAGGTGAAATACACTCCAACGGCAGCGCCTAGAGTCACAGATATTAACGAGCTTATGAGAATGGCTCAGAAGAATGCTGAGGAGAAGTCTTTCGGAGCTATCGTGAATCCGCTCCGAGAACTCGAGAGGAAACAGGCAGCTGCTTCCGAAGAACGATTGATGACACAGTCCGAGAAAAAGAGACTCATGGAGGAAGAAGCCTTCTCCAAACGTCGCGACTTCTCATCGATCCCACGTATACCTAAGCTTGGCCAAAGTTCGGAGAGTCACAAAATGAACAAACACAAGAAGTCGGAGAACGATAGTAAGAAGGAGCTTGGTAAATCGAGCGGGGAGAAGTTGAGAGAGAAAGTTCATTCTGCTCCAACCACGAGTAGTCACAGTAGTACTGGCAGCACCTCAAGAGACAGGTCCGAAAAACCGAAGGATAAAAAGCAATCCTGTGATAAGGATAAGCCGCGAACATCGCACAATGGATCAACTTCGTCGAGAAGCAGCAATGGTGAGTTCAGTTCCCAGATACTTTTGATCGGGTATAAGGTCATTAGCTCAATAGCGAGCGATTCATTCGTGAATCGGGATGGCTCGTTTAACCATTGAAGGCGTAAACCAATATAGAGATATTCTTATCCAGCTCCGGCGAGGAAACCAAATAATATCGCTCAATCCTCCACTGCTCGGAAACCAACAACAGCTCCGGTGGTCTCCAATGGGAATCTTGGTAAGGCCCAAAATGGCAATGTTTCCGTTCAGAGCATGTCGTCATCCGCCAAGGAGAAACTTCGCGCAGAGATGGCCAGGAAGCTTGCGCAACTTCAAAAAGAGCGTTTGGCCGATGAAGAGGAGGAACGACGAAGAAGGTACGACTCATTCTGTTCTCGAATTTGAAGGATATCTAGCAGAGCCACGTCAGGGATATCGAGCCTCCGGTCGTGATCTCAGCACGGCTCGTTTGAGAATTTTTCGTGTGTCTGATCAAAATCAACTGAAGCTCCGTTTCCCCCCCCCCCCCAGGCTGCAGGCCAAGCGAGCCCGCCTCGCTGAGGAAGTGCATCTCAAGAAGAAACTTGTAGCTTTGCAACGCAATCAATCCAGGGTGGACTCGGAAGATGAGGAAGACGATGAGGATCTCGATCAATACGAGGAGGACTTCATCGACGATGGCCCAATCGATGATCCATATGCGAAAAGATACTCCGAAGATATCAAACAGATTTTCAAGTACGATAAAACGAAATACCGGAACATGGATGACGACGACATCGAAGAGAGTTCCTTCACGAGATGCATGGCCGAAGAGGTGAGTGTTCTTCAACGATCGAAATCCTTGATTTGTCCATTTTACCATGAAATTTCTGCGGAGAAGCCGCAGGATGCTCTTCATCATCTAACTCTCGATGACTTTGTTCCAGGCTCGCTCCGCTCGCCTCGGTCGTCAAGAAGATCTTGAGGACATGCGTAAGGAAGCAGAGGAGAATCGAAAGAGAGACAGCCGCAGCAAAACTCTGATGGATCTTGCGGAGAAACTGAAACAGAAGAAAAAACTGACATTGTGTCCTGTTTGAGATGTTTGAGCCGTCTTCTGGAAAGGTTCTACTGACGTAATTTTGATAGAGGATATTCGAAGCGGACAACTTAGGTATCTAGATTTGATGAATCTCCGGAAGTTGAGCTTTCGAAGAAATAAAGGCGGAATCTGTGATCCATAATCTATGCGGTTGAATGTCCTTAGTAAAACTTCTCATCGAGTTCTACAACTTCCAGTGACGAACGCCATCACCTGTCTCCACATCCTATCCGGATACCGGGAGCAACAGGTGTATTTATTTTTTTCAACGCATTTCTTCGAAGCCCCGATGGCATCGCCAGAGATCCAGATGAACCGTCGGGTACGGCTTGACGAGCTAGTGACCGCAGTATTCGAATCGATCATCTGGCATTGGCAAGACTTGTGCCAGTGTTTGATATCACTCGCCAAAGACCTCAGATTAGCCTATCGAATTTTCAAACTCAGCCAGATATTTGATACTGACGGCTGATGAACAAGGTATCCAAAACTTGCCTGATGGTGAACATACGACTAAAACTGAGCCGATTAGTTCTTAGTGGAGCCCGGAGCTCTACTGAGCTTACCTGAGAGGGTATGTGAAGCGAAATGAACAGTAGAAAGATGTACGCACAGATGCACTGTGAGAACAAAGTTCGGTGACGTCCAAGACGAAAGTCTAGTGCGAGAATAGCTAGGAACATTCAAGATGGAGTTCAGTCTCCAAGCTCCTGTTCAACCTGACCCTAGCCATACTATGAAACAAATGAAAGTTCTAATTGTTGCATTGAGATTCATGTTTGTATATGCCAGAGTACGCTAAATAAAGTGTTCAATCTCAACATCATCTCTTGGAGATTATTTCAGAAACAGATTTATCCCGGAGCCCGAGAGGGTCCGTCGTCGAGCTCCCTTGACTCAAAGTCAATGTTCATATCATATAATATAATCAATGAAATGTTCACTCCGGGTTCGCAGTAGGACCTTCCAGTGCATCATGAACCCGACTCCCTGGGGCGTGGAGCCTCGCTCTGAGGTCTCGAATCTGAACCTTGGTTTCGCAAGCCCAGCTCGGCCTACCAGCGCAGGCTTCATTCCCGCACTTATTGGGAAGTGTGCTTTGTCTGCGATGGAGTTACGCTCCCCAAGTTGCCAACCTTGTTCCATTGTGGAGCCCAGGAAAGAAGCCGGAACTCTCTTGGGAATCCCGCGCGCGAGGATCACGCACAATCGGGCTCCCATCTCGAGAACTGGCTGGAAATGACGTTCCTGGGGAGCGACGTGCCCCGTCTAAGCACCATTCTCAATCGCGATCCACCGCGGACAAGCGGAGCTTGACTTCAGGGGGTCGAGATTCTCCTGGCAGACCAGAAAAGTTGGCCCGCGATTCCAAGACAACCACGAATGTTCCGGAAAGAAGAGATTTATTCGAGATTGGAAATACTGAACTCGGCTTCGAGGGTGATCATTTCTTCACAGGAACCTGATGCATACATAGCCCTGAATAAAGATTATATCCGCAAAGATCTGGCTTTGAGAGACGGATCTCAAGCCGAACGCTACTTCCTGATCCAAAGAATTCTCTGATCTTCGGGGTGTTATTTAGGCTTGATTCCTCCCCGCACCCCGCGGGGAACTCCATGCGACTCTACTAGGATATCGGGTTCACGTCAACGGATATACAGAGACTACCGCCACAGATCATGTCGTCCAAATTTCGGAGACAGAGTATGTTACCGATATCATAGAGAGAATCATCGTCGCTGCCGTCGAAACAGGGATGGATGAATGACTGCGTGTCGGGGTCGTAGGTGTCGAAACTCCTCATGCTGACCCAGCCTCCTCTAGCATCATGGAGCTTCAGACAGACGCGCATTCTGTGGGTCCTGTTTTTCTGCCGTTTTGCCGGACCGATTTTCACGTTCAGCCACCGCTCACGCTCTGCTTCGACTTCGTCATGTGCGATGATGAGTGGCATCCCTTGTATTCGATGGGGGTATCGTCCGGGCTCCACGAGCTTCCATACGCCAGACGCAGTCTTCATGCACCCCAGGAGTAGTATCCCGCGACTCCCGAACACGATCTGCAACCTTGCGGGAGTCGCTCTGTAGTGATCCACGTGGTTTTCCGCCAAAGTCATCCCACGCCTCATTTCTTCAACGCAGCGATCGTATTCCGCGAATATCATCTTCAAATTCTCCACGGGGCAGCCCCCCTCGTCCTCGGCGAACTTGACTTTCTTAGGGACGGTGCGTTCGCATACTCCGACTTTTCGCAGGTGCGACTTGATATCGCTCAGAGTCCCTTGGACATCGCATCCGCAGGCGAATCGCAGCATCTGCAGGAACCAAGGCGACAGAACGACCCTCACCGCCGGTACGATTCCCTTGCAGATTTTGCACTGGATGCGCAACTCCTCGTCGAGTTCACTGTTATTCGATGGCTCTGTCGGCAGATTACAGTCCTCACACGTAACGTGACCTCGTGCGCATGTCATGAAAACGGCACAAGACCGCCCGCAATGAGAACATGGCTTCAGATGGGAGCAGAGAGAACTTCGCGGATACACACGTGCGTTCCCCAGGTGAAACTCTGTTGGAAGTTTCCCGAGAACGATCGCCTTCGACCCGGACATGAGCACGATTTTTCGCCTACGTACGTGGAGTGGTTGCAGAGCGAAATGGAGCTCCGAGTTTGATCGAAGCTGGAACGACTGTGATTCTCAAAGCAGATTCCACTTTCGAAAACTTGAGTCGATTGGGGAGATGAACGCAGAGTTTGACAGGAAGCCGACATTCTCTCATTGGCTCGATCGACATGCATGATTCCAACGAGATAAGCGGCCTGCTCCTCTCGAGAATAGATCGAGGAAGTTTATCAAGTGCGTTCTCAAGGGGTCCCCGAATTCTCTCCCGCTCACATGAAGCGAACGCTGCCATCATCTGATTCGAGTCAGCGAATATCCACGCGGGAGTTCTGATTCGAAGAGGTTTCGACTTTCACGTCGCTCCACAGCCAATTCAATATGCTCTCCAGGGATCTCGATACGGTGACACAATCGTTGCAACGATTAATTATTCGGTATGCTTGGCAGAAGCTTGCCGGCTCTTGCGCGAAGAACATTCATGACGTAATGACCCTAGTATCCGACCACAGACGGAGAACAGATCATCGAAAATTGTACATAGATCATCGCACACAGCCTTCAAGAATTCCGGGTCCCAAAATGGAGCAGCGCTGAAGGTCTATTCGCCCTGTCCAAATGTCGGATATAACCCTATCATCATACGACGCTCAACATCTAACGGTACACCGTGAAACGGCTTCGCGCCCTGGGCCTTGTCTACTTCCTTCCGCGGGGGGTTCTTTCCGTGGAGAAAGACCAAGGGAGCAGGAAGGCGATATCGTATTCCTCCTTGATGCGTGAGTGTCAGTCAAAACAATGGTCCCAGTCTCACGCAGGGTGCGAGCCAATTAGAGCCGGTTGCGAGGCTCGGAATCCAATCCCCTCGATAGAATAAAATAGCGATGTCAGTCCATCACTGAGCCAGGGGAATATTTTTCAGAAGCTACCTATTTCCTGTTAACTAATCGAGCATCACGCTTGAGCCTGCCGGTTTTCAACTCATCAGACAGCTTCGATAGAATGCCGGCGAGCTCAGTCATCCTAGTTGCGTTTTTGGCACTTCAGTATCTTCTCGGATCAGGGACCTCTATGCCATGCTCTTCGGGTCATCCATGACACACGCTTTCTTCAGCTTAGTTCAGTCAGAGTCACTGAGATGCGTATTAGTCGGGTGAGGTCAATTCCTCCGTCGCCTCCTTCCGAGGAACTGCGAGCTCCTGGTGAGCTTGAAGGAAGCGTCGGAGTTCGGATTCGTCGACGATATACGTACATAGGTAGATCGCAGACCGCCTTTGATATTTTCATACGCGCGAGAAGCAGGCGGACATGCCATCATCTCATAAGACTATCGAGGGCGGTCTGCGATCCATAATACCATCATACATATGTATGTACATCCTCGACGGATCCGCGGATAAGCTTTGAATCAATTCAGCTCGAAGCTTAGAGATATCTGAAGGACTTGCCGTTCGGGCTGCGGCAATGAGATTGTCCCATCGGTGCTGCTGGAATCCTGCAGTTAGACGGGCTGGTCTGAGATATCCTGAGACAGACCCCTGCAGTACGATATTCCTCGTTCGGATCGCTCCAATCTGTGGACTTTCCGGAGCTGGGGTCTATACACCGAAGCTCTGCAAACGCACCGCGTGCACTGCAAGATGTGTCTTGGGGTTGATATAGCAATCAGTGATCCTTTTTGCCGAACTTCGACCCCGATCAAAGAACAGCGGGGGTGTGACTCTACATCGAATTCCTAACTTGGACCCGCATCATTTCCGAGCTTCACTCCGGATGGCGCCGCGCTCCGTTCTCCGATAAAACCAGGGTTCTTTCTTTTTCTGGACCATTCGCTCTCGATTCTCCGTGGGAGAGCCTGCACGTATCTCATCGTACTCTCAAACGCTTACTCCAACCGAAAGCTTAGAAAATGTTCGTCCAGTCCAACAACGCCACTGGTAGGTTCAACTCTGCGTCAGGCATACGACCTGGCAAAGTGTCTTTCGACCGGCCCGTCATCAACCCCGAAGTTCTTCAGGACGTCCTCCTCCGGGGCTCGCCAGTCGCTTCCGAAGCGCCTCTTCGCCGCTCATCGGTAGCTGAGCACCAGGAGAGGCCCCGAGCTCCGCAGGGACCAGGGATTCCGGTCGGAGTCTCGGAGAAGCGAGGTACTTCGACTGAGCCATCACTTGCGCCTCGAGGATCGTCCGGTGCCGGACTCGGAAGGCTCCAGGAGGAGAGACGGATCGGAGGGGCGCGCCGCGTACCCACGGCGACTGCTCAGATGGATTGGGTTAGAGCAGCAGTCCCGGATCGGCTCAAGAAGGTCGGACCGAAGACGGCGGTCAGTCTTCGCAAGGACGAAGATATCAAGCTCAAAGTTTCCGCGCAAGCTTGGAAACCGAGGAGAGCTGCGACCGAAAGTGCCGACGAAGTTCTCTTCAGGAAGTTCAGGAGCATCCTCAACAAGTTGACACCAGAGAAATTTGAGGCTCTCTTGACTCAGGTGAAGGCGTTAGAGATAAAATCTCAAAAACAGCTCTCGCACATCACCTGTCTCGTCTTGGACAAGGCGCTGGACGAAACGCATTTCGCGTGCACCTACGCGCAGCTGTGCAACACCCTTCTCAGGGAGTTTTCTGTGGCGAGTGAAGGGGATCCGAAGAAGCGAGTCAACTTCCGACAGCTCCTGCTGCAGAAATGTCAGGCGGAGTTCGAGAAGGATACCGCCGCTAGCAAAGAGCAGGAGAACGAGCTCCAAAGGGGCCGCAAAGCTCAACTTGCGGCCTGCAAACCGAAACGGGAGCGGAAGGAGCTCCAGGAGCTCTCCGACGAGGCAGATCAGAAGACGAAGAGACGCTCTCTCGGTCTCATGACATTCATCGGGCAGCTCTACAATCTAGGCGTTCTCAGCTACGCCATCATGCATGAGTGCTTCCTGAAGCTGCTGAGAACGCCCGATGACGAGGCTTCCGTCGTTTGTGCATGCAAGCTGTTTACGACGGTGGGCAAAAAGGTCTCCTCGGAGGGCAAAGAAGGAGGTCGAGAAGCCGCCAAAACTGAAAAAAGTAAGTTTTCTCCAACTTATTTCCCATTATGTATCGTTCCTCGGCATTTCCGGGATTCTCTCCGCAGTTTTCGTCGTCACCCTTCTTAAGACCATGATTTCTCCCCACAGAATTCAGCATGCTACTCCACAGGCTCAGGAACCTGATCTCGTTGAATAAAAGAGCGCGTAAATCCCACGCGAAACATCTGCCGCAGAGGATAATCTTCATGATGGAAGACGTCTGTGAGCTCGAGAAAAATTGCTGGGTGCCGAGGATCAGAATACAGGCCCCGAAAACATTGGGAGAAATCAAAGAAGAAGCTGATCGTGAGAAGCACGTAACTCGACTCCAACCGGATCTCGACAGCGAGAAGAGATCCTGCAACCCGAAAGCAATCGGTGAACCCCGCCCCGGACAAAGACCGACAGCCACCAAGAAGAACAGGGTCACCTACAGCCTGATCAAAGACGAATTCCATTCGATCACGCTGCCACGATCAGCTTTCCCCTCCGCTCCACAGACTACGCCGCGGAAATGGACTTCTGGAGTCCGCGGTTGAAGACTCGGCAGCATTGAGACATGTATCCTGCATGGGCTTTCTATTTTTCTGACAACTCGAGAAGAAATAAATCATTCATCTGAAACTTATCAGCTTCTTTAGAAAAACTTGCTCTGATCTCCGGATCTCTTAGGTGACTGTCTCTCTGCGAGCTAATCCGCCCGAGTAGGATCACGATAATGCATACATGTCGATATGTGATTCGATTGCATTAGCCGGGGGCATTCAGTCGAGCCGGGGTGAAATTCTGTACGGGGAATCGATCACCATTCGTCGAACCGCGGGTCATTCAATCTCCCAAGGAAACAATGCGATCCTGGAGTTTCGATCACTTTCGAGTTGATTCATTTCCATGCGATCAACCTTGCTCTCCAATCGCATGTTCAATTTTGCAGCTCCATTCACGTTGCTATTCTCGTGGTTGTCCCGCCGGCCTCCGCTGATGCAGAAACTCTTCGCCTCATGTACCAAAGCTGTGAAGGCTCCCGACGAGACACCATAGCGACCGATTCACAGCTTGATACTATCTCGACGGGGTTCCATCTCTTGAGCTCACCGATCTTGTGTGATCTCGGAACGATGTTAACAGATCCTCAGAGAAACCGGGCAATGCTGGAGGACCGGGTCCAAAGGCTCATCCTTCTCACGGCGAGCCTCGATCTTCCTTCAATCTCAGCCCACAGATCAGGAGAGGACTTCGAGTTCGGAAACTAGCCTGAACAACTCCTCGTCCGGGAGTTGAGAATCTTCTTCACCGAATCAATCCGTGTGGAAGCGTGGGGACGGATGTATTTTCTCAAGATTTGAGGCTGCCTCTCCCGCTGCAGATGGGGAGGTTAGATCCTAGGAAGCGCCTCCTAAGAATACTGGTATTAGCCAATGATTCTTCTGAATGAGAGAGGCGCGAGAAGAAACCCGACACCATCACCTGCGAGGAGGAGGATTTCATCCACGGTGGGATCACAGCATCGTAACGTCAATTCTAAGGCAACATTTAGCAAAGGTTTGAAGTCGGGGACCGAGTCGAGGAGTCCCCAAACGATTCCCCAACAATTCGCGAATCAAACGCTCGTCTTACTCTTACCCTCCGCTTCTTACATACACAAGTATCACCCGGAGGCTCATTGAATCACGATTCTACTGTAAATCGGCGAATGCGCGCTCGCGTCTCGAGAAACGATCAAAATGCCTAGGCGAGGGAGGAAATCGAAACCAGGGGATCCTCGTTGTCAGAACTAGCAGGGTGTTCGATGGATCACTCCTAATTCGCAGTCCGCGCTAGAGGGCAGACCCACGGAAATCGCATCGCGTCATCTCCCTGATGCCCGAGTGCCTTCTGGTACCGATAGCTGTCCCCTGGATGGGTAGAAGGGAATCGATGGAGGAGATTCCTCGGGCATCGTCGCCTCAGACACGAAGCGCGATCGCATCGCGATTTCATGAATGCCTACGGACATGGCCTTCCCACCTCCGAATCTTGGATGTAATTAAGAAAAGCTTTCGGTGGCGGTCATTCGGAAGAGACAGAATTTTATTTCGATGTTCTTTTCTCTAACAAGGATCATTGACGATCCGAAATAACAATGTGGCGCCAAACCTTCTCTGTTGAAGGCCCGATCGTGAGTGCATGCAGATCGTAGGGCAAGTTCACCTCGAGGTGAGTCTGGAGATAACACACTGGAAGAACTTCATCCTGGAGACTCGTCGGGAGACCTTGCGCAGAGTCTCCTTCATTTGGGACATCTTCGGCGCCGGACGGATCCTTCCGTTCTTTGCTATGTGCGAGGTTAACTCAGCACTCGATTCGGTATCCTCGGCGGAGAATGAGGTTGAGGACTGCAGGGAATCTTCTTCATCCTCGTCCTCGAACCTCTCGATGCCGGAAATGGCACACCACTCCTCCTCCCGTGGCACATACGGGTACGGAATAAACTCCATCGTTTCGACGGTACGTACTTCCTGAGAGCTTCCCATGATGGACGACAAGGTTGACTTAGATAAGAGGTCGTTCCGGTGGAAATAGCTTAGTGAATCGTAGGAAGCGGACGTCCTCTCCTGCTATCCTCAGTGAATTGATTGCACTTAGTGAATATCAACCATGACCGCAGTGTTTAAGTACTCTCAGAAACCACGTCGCATCGCCTCTCTCCGAATTCCATAAGGCGAAGCATTCCTGTGAGGAGAGGAGCCGAAGCTTTCAACTCGAATCGGAATGCAGGGTCGCAGAGTCGGATTCCAATCGCAAGTAATCAGGGGTTCTGGCCTAATTTCGAAATTCGCACTCTCTCCTCTGAATCGACAGTTTATCGTACCTTGAGATTGGATCCGGATAGCAATCATGTGGAATTTAGAAATGTCTCTCCGAGCTAATCCGCCCGGGTAGGATCATGATAATGCATACATGTCGATATGTGATTCGATTGCATTAGCCGGGGGCATTCAGTCGAGCCGGGGTGAAATTCTGTACGGAGGGTTCAGTATTGCTCCTGAGTGCTGTCATCGTTGGGCTTCTCCCAGATACAGGGAATTGATTCATCGATTTGCATCTTCAGCCTTTCGAAGATCCTCTCCTCCAGGACAAGCGATATTCGGTACGAGGATCCGCGGGTGTCTCCAGCGAGTGCGATCCCTTTCAAGGGAATCGATCACCATTCGTCGAACCGTGGGTCCTTCAATCACCCAAGGAAACAATGCGATCCAGGAGCTTCGGTCACTTTCGGTTTGATTCATTTCCATGCGATCAAGCTCGCTCTCCAATCACATGTTCAATATTGCAGCTCCATTCACGTCGCGATTCTCGAGGTTGTCCCGCCGGCCTCCGCTGATCCGAAAATTCTTCGCCTCATGAACCAGAGCTGTGAAGGCTCTCGACGAGACACCGAAGCGACCAATTCACAGCTTGATACTATCTCGAAGGGGCTCCATCTCTTGAGCTCACCGATCTTGTGTGATCTCGGAACGATGTTATCAGATCCTCAGAGAAACCGGGCAATTCTGGAGGGCCGGGTCCAGAGGCTCATTCTTCCCGCGGCGAGCCTCGATCTTCCTTCGATCTCAGCCCACAGATCAGGAGCGGACTCCAAGTTCGGAAACTAGCCTGTCCGGTAGTTGTTCTTGAGAATCTTCTTCAGCGAATCAATCCGTGTGGAAGCGTGGGGACGGATGTATTTTCTCAAGATTTGAGGCTGCTTCTCCCGCTGCAAAACTGCGGATGGGAAACAGAGCCTTGGAAGCGCCTCCTACGAATACTGGTATTAGCCAATGATCCTTCTGAATGAGAGAGTCGCGAGAAGAAACCCCACGCCATCACCTGCGAGGAGGAGGATTTCATCCACGGTGGGATCACAGCACCGTAACGTTTATTCTAAGGCAACATTTTGCGAAGGTTCCGATTCGGGGACCGAGTCGAGGAGTCCCCAAACGATTCCCCAACGATTCCCGAATCAAACGCTCGTTTACTGTTCCTCCAGCTCTTACATACACAAGTATCACCCGGAGGCTCATTGAATCACGATTCTACTGTAGATCGGCGCATGCGCGCTCGCGTCTCGAGCAACGATCAAAACGCCTAGGCGAGGGAGGAAATAGAAACCAGGGGATTCTTGTAGTCAGAACTATCAGGGTGTTCGTTGGACCACTCTTAGTTCGCAGTCCGCGCTAGAGGGCAGACCTACGGAAGTCGTATCCGCCGATAGCTGTACCCTGGAAGGGTAGAAGGGAATCGATGAAGGCGATCCTTCGGGCATCGTCGCCTTAGGTGCGAAGCGCGATCGCAACGCGATTCCATGAATGCCCACGGACATGGTCTTCCCACCTACGAATGTTGGATGTATAATAATTAAGAAAAGCTTTCGGCGGATGTCGTTCGGAAGAGACAGAATTTTATTTCGATGTTCTTCTCTCTAACAAGGATCATTGACGATCCGAAATAACAATGTGGCGTCGAAGCTTCTCGGTTGAAGGCCCGATCGTGAGTGCATGCAGAATCTTGGCGCAAGTTCACCTCGAGGTGAGTCTGGAGATAACGCACTGGAAGAACTTCATCTTGGAGACTCGTCGGGAGACCTTGCGCAGATGCTCCTTCATTTGGGACATCTTTGGCGCCGGACGGATCCCTCCGTTCTTTGCTGGGTGCGAGGTCAACTCAGCACTCGATTCGGTATCCCCGGCGGAGAATGAGGTTGAGGACTGCAGGGAATCTTCTTCATCATCGTCCTCGAACCTCTCGATGCCGGAAATGGCACACCACTCCTCCTTCCGTGGCACATAGGGGTACGAGATGTATTCCATGGTTTCGACGGTACATTCTTCCTGAGAGCTTCCCATGATGGACGACATGGTTGACTTGGGTACGAGGTCGTTCCGGTGAAAATCGCTTATTAGTGAATCGTAGGAAGCGGATGTCCTCTTCTGCTATCCTCAGTGAATTGATTGCACTTAGTGAATATCAACCATGACCGCAGTGTTTAAGTACTCTCAGAAATCACGTCGCATCGCCCCCTCTCCGAATTCCATTAGGCGACCTATCCCTGTGAGGAGAGATGCCGAAGAACTCACCTCGAATCGGAATGCAGGGTCGCAGAGTCGAATTCCAATCGCAAGTAATCAGGGGTTCTGGCCTAATTTCGGAATTCGCTTTCTCTCCAATGAATCGACAGTTCATACTCTTTCATTGGAGTCGATAGAAGCATATCTTACAGTTCAGAAGCTTCCCTACATTCTCCCCCGTTCATCTTGGGTTCCATCCCCAGGGTTAAAAAAACACGCAGGCCATTGACTGAGTCTCTAACTCAGTCGGATAATGGGCGTAGAACCAGATATGGTCAGCGTGTTTACGGTCAATACCGTCCGTAATCACGGCCGGAGTTGCGTATCATCGCTTTTACGGTTCGAGGGGAATTTCATGAGGCCGTAGGCATTTCGGCGATCACGGCGGAAAGCGTCCCCGGCAGAGATTCTCCTCACAGGACGGCTGTGTGATACCGAAGGGTAGGTCTCAT